CAACAGTGTTAGCAGCATGGATGAGGCTCAAGTATCCTCACATTGCAATAGGAGCTTTAGCTTCCTCAGCTCCAATTCTTCAGTTTGAAGATATTGTACCTCCCGAGACGTTTTATGACATTGTATCAAATGATTTTAAGGTATAATGTTTTTGCTTTGTTAGTCGTCTATTGACTTTCTCTTTTCTTCTCCTGAGTCGTGAACTTTGTAGCGTGAGAGTAGTAGCTGCTTCAACACCATAAAGAATTCATGGGATGCAATAATAGCAGAGGGTCAAAAGGAGAATGGTCTTCAGCAGTTGACGAAAACTTTTCGCTTTTGTCGGTAAACAAGAAAATTGGAGTTGGTGTAATGGTTTGTTACCCTATTGTATTTGAGCTGAATTGAGTGGTGGCTCTGTTTTGCAGGGTGTTGAACAGTACTGATGACCTTTCAGACTGGCTGGACTCTGCTTATAGTTATTTGGCAATGGTGGACTATCCGTATCCCGCTAACTTCATGATGCCTTTGCCTGGACATCCCATTAAAGAGGTATATCTTGACAAGTAACACTTAATGATTTTCCAATGAGATTTTCCCCAAATCATATAAGATATTAGAGAATTAAAGAATGCATCATGTGGATTGTCATCTTTATATCAATGACCCTATGAGGCTATGCTTCGATGATTTGCTTGCTGCATCCGGCTATTATTCAACCAAGCCCTTTGGAGCCCTAATCAGTATTTGTTAATGTGGTTTATCTCTCTGTAGGTCTGCAGAAAAATTGACGGTGCTCGTAGTGATGCTAGCATCCTAGATCGCATATATGCTGGAATAAGTGTGTACTACAACTATACTGGGGATGTTGACTGCTTCAAGTTGGATGATGACCCCCATGGTTTAGATGGATGGGATTGGCAGGTCTGAAAAACAGCTGCTTTATTTACCTTCTTTTTCCCGAAACTTACCATTAAGCTTCTTTTTCCCTCGGTTTACAATAGGCGTGCACGGAGATGGTAATGCCCATGTCTAGCAGCCAAGAAAACAGCATGTTTCCAGCTGATAATTTTAATTACTCTTCATACAAAGAGGAATGCTGGAATACATTCCGAGTCAATCCAAGGCCTAGATGGGTCACAACAGAGTTCGGTGGACATGTAAGACTTGTTTTTGCTAAACTCAAGTATCTTTGTATGCCATAATCTGAATCTTTA